CCAGCTAATTTTTTGTATTTTTAGTAGAGACGGGGTTTCACCGTGCTGACTAGGATAGTCTCGATCTCCTGACCTCGTGATCCACCCGCCTCGGCCTCCCAAAGTGCTGGGATTACAGACATACCTTCAATTTAATGACAAGTGAGTGAGTTTGTGAGCCATTCTATGCTCCTGGCACTTTTTTCTGTTATTCTTAATTTGGAAAGACTTTTTAGGCCTGCAATTTTATTAACTCTTCTAATATCCAAACGAAACAGAGTGATTCTATAACAAGATGTCTTAAAAGAAAAAGAGAAACAGTGAGATATGTAACACAATGCCATTTCTATAAAAGTATATGCCCACAGTGTACATTAAGAAAGAATATGTTAAAAAAAAAAACTGTATGCACATCAAACATATCACAATAGTTACCTTTAGTAGGAGGAGAAAAAGCAGGGAATGGAGGTTTCTGTTTGTTTTTTTGCTTTTTGTTTTTCGAGACAGGGTATCACTTAGACCCCCAGGCTAGAGTGCAGTGGCATGATCACAGCTCACTGCAGCCTCCACCTCCCAGATTCAAGCTATGTTGCCCAGGCAGATCTTGAATGCTTGACCTCAAGTGATCCTTCTGCCTTGGTCTCCCAGAGTGCTAGGATTACAGGCATGAGCCACAGCACCCAGCCTGGGAATGGATTTTTTTGTTGCTGTTGTTGTTACATAAATTAATGAGAGAGAGAGAGAGAGAGAGAGAAAGAAAGAACTTGGCAGAACAGTGGGGATAAGTGCTACAAACGCTGATGACTAGGAAGAATTCAACTTTCAGCATTGTGAGGATTTTTTGGTTTGTTTCTGTTTTTTGTTTTTGGCAGTCTCAATCTATTGCCAGGCTGGAGTACACTGGCACATTCTTGGCTCACTGCAACCTCCATTTCCCAGGTTCAAGTGATTCTCCTGCCTCAGCCTCCCAAGTAGCAGGGACTACAGGCATGTGCCACCACACCCAGCTAATTTTTGTATTTTTAGTAGAGACGGGATTTCACCATGTTGGCTAGGATGGTCTTGATCTCTTGACCTTGTGATCCTCCCTCCTTGGTCTCCCAAAGTGCTGGAGCATTGTGTTTTTAGGGTCCATCCAAGTTGCTTTATGTACATCAAACCCAGTGCTTCTGATTGCTGCATATATCCCTTGGTGTGCATTCACCACACTTGATCCACATGCTCTGTTATGGACTGAACTGTGTCTTCCCAATTTCCTGTGTTAAAGTCTCCAACTCCCAGTACTCAGAATGTAACTGTGTTTGGAGATAGGGCCTTTAAAGTGGTAATTAAGGTTAAATGAGGCTGTAATAGTGAGCCCTAATCCATTTGACAGTATTTGAAGACAGGGCCTTCAAAGACATGATTAAGTTAAACTGAGACTTACAAGTGGGGCTTTCATCCAGTGTGACTGGTATCCTTACAAGGAGAGACATTGAGCCAGGCATGGTGGTGGACCTGTAATCCCAGCTTCTAGAGAGGCTGAAGTAGGATCACCTGAACCCAGGAGTTCGAGGCTGCAATAAGCTATGATTCCCACTACTGCACTCCAATCTGGGTGACAGCGAGACCTCAAAATAATTAAAATTAAGATAAATAAATAAAAGACATTGAATCTTCATAATGATTGGGAGTTAGGCATTGTTCTTATTCCCATCTTGCCGATGGCTGAACTGGGTGAGGCAAGGAGAAAGTAAGTAATTCTCTGAAAGCTGCACCACTAGTAAGTGGCAGGTGCAGCCTTTGAACCTGCAACTTCTAATACCAATGACCTGGTTCACGTTCAGCCCCGGTCTTAGACCACCTCTCCTTGAAGAGGCAGGTCAAGGGCTGATGTTTGCTAGGTTGTGATGGGTGGGGCACCTCAGTGGCAAGACCACTCACTCCTACCTGGGGGAGTCTGGGAAGGGCTCACAGAGGTCTTGAATTGACTCATGGAAGGTGAGTAGGTGTTCAACAGGCAGACTGGGGACAGACAGGCAAGGGGTCTGCACCCCAGCCCTGAGCAAACAGCCGGGCTGACGGGGAACCCAGGGATGGGAGCCAGCACCGGGAGCTGATTCTGGATGCGGCTGCCCCAGGCCCTGCCTTTGGTTTTCTCTGGCCTGCGCGGCAGATGCCAAGGCTGGTTCCCCCGCTGGGCATATTTCCGCAGGGCTCCAAATTAGGACAGCAGGTGCAGGTCCAGTGTCACCTGGACAAAGCTCGGTTAGCGGTTTTACTATCAGAAGTCCCCAACCCCCCAACACACACAGACACACACATGTACGCGCAGTCGCACACATACACACACGGACACACACATGCACATAGGCACACACAGACACGCACACATACAAAAGCACACAGATTTCCAGGACCCTGGTTTTCCTCCTGTGGCCTTCTCGGGGCCGGGCTCTCACTCTCCAGGAGCAGCCCCACCCTGGTGTGGCCCCACCCTCTCCTGGGACCTGTCATAACCCGGTTCTCGGGAGCCCGGCTGCACAGTCCCAGCCGCCTTCCCCAGGCAGTGGAACCCTCGGACTCCTGTAAGTAGACCTCCGGCTTTTTTTTCGTCCCTTTTCTACCTCCCCTAACTCCTTCGCTTTCTTTCTGCCGAGTCTGTAGACGTCCCAGTGGAAGAGGTTTGCATTTATCCCTCCTTCACTTTTGCCTAGTGACGTCTGGGTCTTGCACTCGGAGGAGGTTGGGAGCCGAGGTTCCGACGCCTCCCGGGCCCTGCGGGTCATTCGAGAGCTCGGAGACGGGCACGGGAGGGAAGAGGAAAGCCTGGTTACAACCCGGGACAGCCGGTAGCTGCCTGCACCCGGGAAGGGGCTGGCCAGGGAACTTGCAGGACTGCACAACTAGGGGAGGGTGGAAGAAAGGGCCGGGCGCCGCGCCAGGCGCCATCCTCGGGCGAGCGAGACCTTCCCGGGGACCTCGCCCCTCTGCGGCCAGACCAGACCCTTTCCAGGAGGGCTTCTGAATTTGCAGCGAGTTTGGAATGCTCAGCAGTTGCGTTTTTGGGAAAAGGGACGAAGATTTGTGGACTCTAAAAAAGTTGAACTTGTAAAGACTAGAATGATGGTTGCCAGAGGCAGGGAGCGGGTTGCGGAGGGAATGGGGACTTGTTGGCCTAAAGGTACACAATTCAGAGATGAGAGGAGTAGGTTCTGAGGTCTGTCGCACAGCAGGGTGGCTAGAGCCAATAATGTGTATTTTAAAATAACGAAAAGTAAACTTCAAATGTTTCACAATAAAAGTGATAGGTAGGGCCGGGCGCGGTGGCTCACGCCTGTAATCCCAGCACTTTGGGAGGCCGAGGCAGGCGGATCATTTGAGCTCAGGAGTTCAAGACCAGCCTGGCCAACATGGGGAAACCCCGTCTCTGCTAAAAATACAAAAATTAGCCAGGCGTGGTGGCACAAGCCTGTAATCCCAGCTATTTGGGAGGCTGAGACAGGAGAATCGCTTGAACCCGGGAGGTGGAGGTTGCAGTGAGCCGAGATCGCGCCACTACACTCCAGCCTGGGTGACAGAGAGAGACGCTGTCTCAAAAAAAAAAAAAAAAAAAAAAAAGGTGATGGGGTTACGCTAATTAGCTTGATTTAATAATTCTGCATTGTGTATATATGTCAAAACATCACAGAGTGCCCCATAAATGTATACAATTATGATTTGTACATTAAAAATAGTCTTTTTTAAAAAAAGAAGGAACAGCTCCGAGCTGCCGATCGGACCGCCCCCTGGCTGCCCCGCAATGCGGAAGTGCTCTCTCCAGGCCACCAGTGTCCCCTCCCCGCGGCACCGGTGGGGGAGTAGGGGAGGTCGCCGGCAGCTGCAGATCGTTTTGTGGCCGGATTGTTTGTAGCTAATGCACCCGCGGGAAGGCGCGGGTCTCATGTGATTCGGAAGAGTTCAGTCCAAGCAGAACGTCCTGAGCCCTCGGCTTCGGGCAGCCTTCATCATCTTCCCTTGCTTTGGTGTAGAGTTTAAGCTCAAAATCGGTTCGGTGTGGAGTTTAAACTCAAATCCCTCCTTGGGCCAGAGAAAATGGCTGAGCGCAAGTAATCCCAGCACTTTGGGAGGGCGGATCGCCTCGGCAACACAGTGAGGCTTGTGTCTACAAGAAAGAGACAAAAGTACAGTACTGTGGAAAAAAAAACAAAAAACAAAAAACAAAAAACAAAAAAACCCACCTGAAAATGGGGCGGAGCAGCGGCGCCCCCCGGTGGTTTCCAGGAGTTTTGAGGCTGCCTTGAAATGCCTGGCTCTTTCCAACTGAAAAGGCATAAATGTACTTCTTTCTGTTTGGTTCTTTGTGGTTGATGGTTTTTCTTGGGATGCACTCCATGTGACATGAGAAACAGAATATTCGCACTCTCGGTAGCTGTTCAGTGCCTTAGAGAAACTCTAGCCTAGCAGTGGTTGGGAAGAATTTCTTTCTTTTTTTTTTTTTTTTGAGACTGAAAAAGAAATCGCGGCTCACTGCAACCTCCGCCTCCAGGGTTCAAGAGATTCTTCCGCCTCAGCCTCCCGAGTAGCTGGGACCACAGGCACGTGCCAGCACGCCCGGCTAATTTTTGTATTTTTAGTAGAGACGGGGTTTCACCATGTCGGCCAGGATGGTCTCGATCTCTTGACCTAGTGATCCGCCCACCTCGGCCTCCCAAAGTGCTGGGATTACAGGCAGGAAGAATTTCTTTGTTGATTTATATTTTTCCTTGTCTTGAAGGTTTCCTTAAACGTCAGTTTCCTCATCCATACACTGGCAATGATACTAATGCCTATCTTATAGGGAAGTTATAAGGATAAAATGAGGTAATCTATATGACGTGCTTAGCATGACACCAGAAACATAGTAAATATTAAAATGAATGTGGTTGATGTTACATGATAATGTTGGGATTTGGGGATATTGTAGTTGTGCTATCTGGGCTCAGTTCGATGGCTAGGGAACTGTTAAAATGCATACTGACTACATATTGACTGTGTTCTAGGAACTTCAAGATGGTTCATGCTAAGAGGTGGACCTTGAAGAAGCACTTTGTTGGCAGTCCTACTAATAGTGACTTTGAGTTGAAGACAGCTGAGCTGCCACCCTTAAAAAATGGAGGTAAGTCATACTCAAAAGATTTCAGAGTTGGAAGGAACTATATCAGTTAGCCTTTACTGCATAAGGAACTACCCCAAAGTTTAGTGACGTTAAACAACCATCATTTATTAGTTTACAATTCTCTGGGTTGGCAAAGAATTAATTTAGGATGGGCCTTGTTCACATGTCTGCTGGGGTGCATCCCTCAGTTCTCATCTATGTGGCTTTTCTAGCAGGCTAGTTTGAGCTCTGTTCTCATAGTGGTCCCATAGATCTAGAGGAGCAGGAGTTGGCAAGCTCCGATGTGCAAGCACTTTTCTTTCTTTCTTTTTTTTTGAGACAGAGTCTCACTCTGTTGCCCAGGTTGGAGTATGGTGGCACAATCTTGGCTCACTGCAACCTCCACCTCCCAGGTTCAAGCAATTCTCCTGCCTCAGCCTCCTGAGTAGCTGGGATTACAGGCATGCGCTAGCATGCCCAGCTAATTTTTGTATTGTTAGCAGAGACCAGGTTTCCCCATCTTGGCCAGGCTGGTTTTGAACTCCTGACCTCAGATGATCCACCCACCTTGATCTCCCAAAGTGGTGGGATTAAAGATGTGAGCTACCACGCCCCGCTGTGTAAGCACTTTTCAAGCCTCTACTTGTACCATGTTTGCTAACATCCCATGGTCAAAGCAAATCACAATGCCAAGCTCAGATTCAAGAAGCAGAAAATAGATTTCTTGATGGGAGAAATGGCAAGTAGAAATGGCAAAGTGATCAGTTCCATCTAAGCTGTGATGGCCATGATTCAAATTCAAAATTCCAAAGAATGTATACATGAGAGTCACTCCAGCAAAATGCACATTCTTTAGCACTAACTATGGCTGGCAATGAAACTGTATGGTGAGCACTGTGACATAATGGTTTACATGTGGCCTTGGGCAAGTTACGTAACCTAAATTTAAATAAAGTGAAAACAGTATTTGTTGAATATCAAATGAAATAATTCATGTAAAGCATGGAATGAGTATTGAGTAAATAGCATTATTATTATTATTATTATTACTATTAACTGGGGTGGGCCAAAAGTGAGAACCCCTTCTTGTCTCTTCCACAGAAGCACAGATTGGAAGGCAACCTTGCAACACAAGTATTATCTGTGTTTTTTTAGGATGTCAAAAAGAGGCCTGGTGCAGTGGCTCACGCCTGTAATCCCAACACTTTGGGATGCCAAGATGGGCAGATCTCTTGAGGTCAGGAGTTTAAGACAAGCCTGGCCAACATGGTGAAACCCCATCTCTACTAAAAATACAAAAATTAGCCGGGCATGGTGGTGGTTACACCTATAATCCCAGCTACTCAGGAGGCTGAGGCACAAAAATCGCTTGAACCTGGGAGATGGAGATTGCAGTGTGCAGAGATCAAGCCACTGCACTGCAGCCTGGGCAACAGGGCAAGACTCCATCTCAAAAAAGAAAAAAAAGCCAGGCATGGTGGCTCATGCCTGTAATCTCAGCACTTTGGGAGGCCAAGGCAGGCGGATCACCTGAAGTTGGGAGTTCGAGACCAGTCTGACCAACATGGAGAAACCCCATCTCTACTAAAAATACAAAATTAGCTGGTTATGCTGGTGCATGCTGGTAATCCTAGCTACTCTGGAGGCTGAGGCAGGAGAATCGCTTGAACCTGGGAGGTGGAGGTTGCAGTGAGCCGAGATCACGCCATTGCACTCCAGCTTGGGCAGTAAGAGCAAAACTGTCTCAAAAAAAAAAAAAAAAAATGCCAAAAACAATGAAGGCATCAGGCCTTAAGTTCTGTGTGTTTTTTTTTTTTCTTCTACTTTTATTTTGGTTTAAGAGGTACATATGCAGGTTTGTTCTATGGGTAAATCACATGTGACTGAGGTTTGGTGTATGAATGATCCTGTCGCCCAGTTAGTGAGCACAGTATCTCATAGGTGGTTTCTCAACCCTTGTCCCTGTCTCACCCTCCCCCATCTAGTAGTGCTCAGTGTCTGTTGTTTGTCTTAGGCCTCGAGTTTCTAATTGCCTGTGGAATGCTCTATTTTTCAGAGGTCCTGCTTGAAGCTTTGTTCCTCACCGTGGATCCTTACATGAGGTATTATTTATTTCCCCCCTCAACATGCTAATGCTGTGTGAAATGCTATTTTGAGGTAGTTCATCTTTTAAAATATCCAACTGACTTCAAACATTGTCACTTTCCCTCTGGTTCTCCCAGCACAGTATCAGTTACGGGGTTCGTGCACATGCATCTTTTGCAGGCAAAGCTCTAAAAAGATTAGTGATTCCTAACCATTTCCTATCTGCTCTGTACAATTTGCCTTTCATTGCTCAACAGAATTATTTACAGGAAAAAAAAAAAAAAAAAACCTTAAAAGAAAAAATAAAGCCTGGGCAACATAATGAAACCCCGTCTCTACTAAAAATACAAAAAATTAGCCAGACATGGTGGCACATGCCTGTGGTCCCAGCTTCTCAGGAGCCGGAGGTGGAAAGATCACTTGAGCCTGGGAGGCAGAGGTTTCAGTGACCCGAGATCATGCCACTGCACTCCAGTCTAGGTAACAGAGCAAGATCCCATCTCATAAAGAAAAAACCCAAACTCCAATTTGGCCACTTCACTACTGGCAAATAATCTGGGTAGAAGAAGATGCTAAGACTAACATCAGGCCGGGCGCGGTGGCTCAAGCCTGTAATCCCAGCACTTTGGGAGGCTGAGGCAGGTGGATCACGAGGTCAAGAGATCGAGACCATCCTGGTCAACATGGTGAAACCCCGTCTCTACTAAAAATACTAAAAATTAGCTGGGCATGGTGGCGTGTGCCTGTACTCCCAGCTACACAGGAGGCTGAGGCAGGAGAATTGCCTGAACCCAGGAGGCGGAGGTTGCAGTGAGCCGAGATCACGCCATTGCACTCCAGCCTGGGCAACAAGAGCGAAACTCTGTCTCAAAAAAAAAAAAAAAAAAAAGACTAACATCAGCTTTTTCTGGCCTTCCATTTACCTGTGTTTTTTCAATTTAGGTGAATCTGCAATTGACTCAAACTTCTATACTCAGCAAACAACTCAGAGAGGGGAGGAAATCAAAAGCCTTTATTGATCACTAAGTCCTCAGTCATTTTTGGCCTAGATAAATAATATAGCCATCATTCTTTTACATTTTTTTCATAGCTGATTGATAAAGATTCAAATCTCAAGTGGAAAACACAGTTTTGAAATGTTAATTGGTATCTTTTTGTGTAGCTAGTGTTTTCGGTAACAAGTATGCAGTGATGCCTGGCTTATAAATTTTTTAAAGTCATTGGTAGAAATTCATCTTTACTTGAACATGGCAGTAAGACTTTTGTGTTCGCACATAAAAAAATCCAATCGGAGTGCTTATCTGAGGTCACAGAGCAGAACTTCCTCTAACAGCTTTCTTCCTGCATCTCACCTAACTATATGCCTTCATCTATCCAGGTTTTATTGCCACATACACTTACCCAGCAGTTTTTCATTTGACTTCAAACTGAAAACAGTCCCCAGATGCTCTTAAATAGTAAGAATGCAATATTTTTTTTTCCAGAGTGGCAGCCAAAAGATTGAAGGAAGGTGATACAATGATGGGGCAGCAAGTGGCCAGGTAATCCTTTCCATTGGTCCCAATGCTTGCAAAACATGTTTCCTCTTTACCTCCTGCTGGGCCCTGTCTCTGCCCATTTATCCTGCAATTTCTTCAGCCTGTGTGGTTCACTCACTGTGTGATCTTCAAAGCAACTTGGGAAATCCTGTACCCTTCCTGACTAGTTGGAAAGGAGGGAAGGATGTGGAATTGTCATACTTTCAGCTCCACTTTGCCATCCTTACTTTTAATTACTAAAAATAATAAAAATAAATAAATAAAAAGTATTCATCCAGGCTGGGCGCGGTGGCTCAAGCCTGTAATCCCAGCACTTTGGGAGGCCGAGGCGGGTAGATCACGAGGTCAAGAGATCGAGACCATCCTGGTCAACATAGTGAAACCCCGTCTCTACAAAAAATACAAAAAACTAGCAGGGCATGGTGGTGCGTGCCTGTAATCCCAGCTACTCGGGAGGCTGAGGCAGGAGAATTGCCTGAACCCAGGAGGCGGAGGTTGCGGTGAGCCGAGATCGCGCCATTGCACTCCAGCCTGGGTAACAAGAGCGAAACTCCGTCTCAAAAAAAAAAAAAAAGTATTCATCCAGGTCATAATTATTGTAAAAATTCAAATAAAACAATAATTTTTATCTTGGAAACTGAAAGTTCCCCCATCATCTGAACCATAAAGACAACTATGGGGAGGCCGAGGCAGGTGGATCACAAGGTCAGGAGTTCGAGACCAGCTTGGCCAAGCATGGTGAAACCTGTCTCTACTAAAAATACAAAAAGTTAGCCAGCATGGTGATATGTACCTGTAATCTTAGCTGCTAAGGAGGCTGGGGTAGAGACTTGCTTAAACCTGGGAGGTGGAGGTTGCAGTGAGCTGAGATCGCGCCACTACACTCCAGCCCGGGTGACAGAGCAAGACTCTGTCTCAAAAAAATAAAAGACAACTATGGTTAATTTTCAAAAATTGTGAGTCGGGCACAGTGGCTCACGCCTGTGATCCCAACACATATGGAGGCTGAGGTGGGCAGATCACTTGAGGTCAGGAATTCGAGACCAGCCTGGCCTACATGGTGAAACCCCGTCTCTACTAAAAATACAAAAATTAGCTAGGCGTGGTGGTGCATGCCTGTAATCCCAGCTACTCGGGAGGCTGAGGCAGGAAAATCACTTGAACCTGGGAGGCGGAGATTGCAGTGAGCCAAGATTGCACCACTGCACTCTAGCCTGGATGACAAAGCAAGACTCCATCTCAAAAACAAAATTGTTCGGAGCACATACTTTTATATATAAATTTTAAATGGAATTAAATGCCCTTTAGAAAACTACTTTCTATCACTTAATAGGTTAAGGATATCTTTCACTGACGGTATATAAATATACCACCAACCTTTTAATAGCTGCAAATTATTTTATTCTATTCCACCATTTAACTAGTCTACTACTGATAACAACTGTTTTCAATTTTTTCTATGACAAATAATTCTTCCAGGAGCATGTATGTATTTATAGGTGTGTATCTGTGTATTCTTTTCCCTGTTGGATGAGTGTTGCTTTACATTAAATTTCCAGAAGTATAAATTCTAGACCCAGAGAGATGTATATTTTTAATCTGAAAAGGTGATGGCAAATTGTTCTTCAAAAAAATTATATGAAGGAGGGACACAGTGGCTCATGCCTGTAATGCCAGCACTTTGGGAGGCTGAGGCAGGAGGATCACTTGAGGTGAGGAGTTTGGGACCAGCCTGGCCAACATGACAAAACCCCATCTCTACTAAAAATAAAACATCTAGTAAGATGTGGTAGTGGGCACCTGTAATCCCAGCTATTCAGGAGCCTGAGGCATGAGAATCGCTTGAATCCAGGAGGTGGGGTTGCAGTGAGCTATCATGCCTCTGCATTCCAGCCTGAGCAATAGAGCAAGACTTTGTTTCAAAAACAACAACAAAAAAAATTGTATGAGTGTTTACTCCTATCAACAGTATTAACCTGTTTCTCTTATACTGTTCACCATCAGCATTGACAACATGAGATGAATATGAATAATTTATGCTTAGTTTAGTTTGCATTTCATTTATGATTAGTGATGTTGACCTTCTTTTTGTAAGTTAATTCTCAGTTTTCTTCTGTGTATTATCTGCTTATATCCTTTGCCCTTTTCCTTTAGGTCTTCTCATTTGTTATACTGATTTGCAAAAGCTGCTCGTACGTTCAGGATATTAGTGTTGCAAATGTTTGGGCCTTTGTTGATCTTTTTTCTGTGTCCAATTATAGTTTAACATTTTATGTGATAAAATTATAAAGATTTATAATTATGGTCTTTTCGTTTCCTCTCATGCTTAGAAAGGCATTCTCCACTCCATAATTACTAAAACATTTATTCACACTGAGTGCAGTGGCTCACGCCTGTAATCCCAGCACTTTGGGAGGCTGAGGTGTGGATCACCTGAGGTCAGAAGTTTGAGACCAGTCCAGCCAACATGGTGAAACCCCATCTCTATGAAAAATACAAAAATTAGCCAGGCGCAGTGGTGGACGCTTGTAATCCCAGCTACTCAGGAAGTTGAGGCAGAAGAATTGCTTGAACCCAGGAGGCAGAGGTTGCAGTGAGCCGAGATTGCACCATTGCACTCCAGCCTGGGTAACAAGAGCGAAAGTCTGTCTCAAAAAAAAAAATTATTCATGTTTTCTGCATTTTATAGTTTAATTTTTTATAATAAAATTTTTGAGTCATTTAGTTTTCATATTGGAATAAAGAGTGAGACCAGGTGCAGTGGCTCACACTTGTAATTCTAACACTTTGGGAGGCCAACATGGATGGATTGTTTGAGCTCAGGAGTTTGAGACCAGCCTGGGAAACATGGCAAAACCCCGTCTCTAAAAAAACCCAAACATCTCATTTTTAATTTTTTTAAATTTTATGTCTCAATGACTAGCCAGTTATTATAATACCATTTGTTTAAATTTTGTGTGGATCTTTATAGGGATTTCAATGACCTTACAGATTTATTTAGAGGAAACTGACATCTTTACAATTTCTCTCTCCAAACACAAGGTATGCTTCTCCATTTATCCATTTTGTCTTATATCCCATTAACAGTTTTCTTCATATAAGTCTTATACATTTCTTGCTAATAATTAAAGCAATGAACATGTATTTGTGTTTGCTGGATTGGCAAACTATTTTTTAAAATATAATACTCAGTGATGGAGATGATACACTCATATATATTCATGGTGGCAATGGAAGTTGCCACAACCTTCTGGAAGGGAATTGGCAATATGCAGCAAGAGTTTCAAATGTTTTAATACTCTTTGACCTAGTAATACCATTTATAGAAATCCTGACTAAGGAAACAATGTTCAGCCAGGCACAGTGGTTTATTCCTGTAATCCCTTCACTTCAGGAGGCTGAGGTGGGTGAATCTAGGAGTTTGAGACCACCCTGGGCAACATGGTAAATCTTGTCTCTACAAAAAATATAAAAAATGCTGGGCGCAGTGGCTCATACCTGTTAATCTCAGTACTTTGGGAGGCTGAGGTAGGTGGATCACCTGAGATCAGGAGTTCAAGACTAGCCTGGGTAACATGGTGAAACCCCATCTCTACTAAAAATACAAAAATTAGCTGGTGTGGTGGTACACACCCATAATCTCAGCTACTCAGGAGGCTGAGGCACAAGAATTGCTTGAACCCGGGAGGCAGAGGTTGCAGTGGGCCAAGATCATGCCATTGCACTCCAGACTGGGCAACAGATCAAAATTCTTGTCTCAAAAAAAAAAACCAAAAAACAGAAATTAGATGGACATGGTGGTGTGTTACTGTGGTCCCAGCTACTGTGTCCCAGCTACTCAGGAGGCTGAGGTGGGAGGATCACTTGAGCTCAGGAGGTTGAGGCTGCAGTGAGCCATGATCACACCGCTACACTCCAGCCTGAGTGACAAAGGGAGACCGTGTCTCAAAAAAAAAAGAAATAATAATCGTGTTTACGAATATTAATTAAAATATATTTCCTAGCAAGCAGACTCAGAGAAAAAATGAAAAAAAAATTTTTCAAAAGGAAAAATACAGCCAGGCGTGGTGGCTCAAGCCTGTAATCCCAGCACTTTGGGAGGCCGAGGCGGGTGGATCACGAGGTCAAGAGATCGAGACCATCCTGGTCAACATGGTGAAACCCCGTCTCTACTAAAAATACTAAAAAATTAGCTGGGCATGGTGGCATGTGCCTGTAATCCCAGCCACTCAGGAGGCCGAGGCAGGAGAATTGCCTGAACCCAGGAGGCAGAGGTTGTGGTGAGCCGAGATTGCGCCATTGCACTCCAGCCTGGGTAACAAGAGCGAAACTCCGTCTCAAAAAAAAAAAAAGGAAAAATACTGAAAGTATTCTAATAATGGGGTCATAATTAAATTCATTACAGTTTTTCAAGGATTCTTACTAACATGGAAAAAGAATACATCATATAGACCAGTGGAATGTTGACAGATAAATTATAGATTACAAAACATATAAAATTACTTCAATTGTGTAAATATGTATAATACACATTTTTAAATATACCATTAAGATTGCCAAGTATTAGTAGTTGTCTTTGTGCTGTGAGATTAGAACTGATATTTTTATTTTATATGTTTAAAATTTTCTAGAATAAATATGTGTTATATAACTTTATGATCTGGGGAGGAAAGATGGTAAAGAATGATAAACAGTTGAGGCCGGGTGCAGTGGCTCACATCTGTAATCCCAGCACTCTGAGAGCCTGAGGGCCAGCAGATCCTGAGGTTGGGAGTTCAAGACTAGCCTGACCAACACAGAGAAACCTCGTCTCTACTAAAAATACAAAAAATTAGCTGGGCGTGGTGGCTCATGACTGTAATCCCAGCTACTTAGGAGGTTGAGGCAGGAGAATCGCTTGAACCCGGGAGGCGGAGGTTGCGGTGAGCCGAAATCACACCATTGCACTCCAGCCTGGGCAACAAGAGTGAAACTCTGTCTCAAAAAAAAAATAATAAAGAGTTGGATGAAGGAAAGGGAATCAGTAAATGAGACAGAACGGGTGCTGCTTAGAGGAGGAGGTAAGAAGCCAGGAGAGATCAGTATCCTGGTAACCAGTTGGGGAAGACTTTGGGTGCCCCTGTGTTCATAGAGTGGAAAAGTAAAATCAGACAATGATTAAGGAATATTCACCGGATTTTGCACTTAGGAGGTTGTTGTGACCTTAGTGGAGTAGTAGGTGTGGGAGGCAGGTTTCAGAGGGTAGCACGTGTGGGAAGTGAAGAGGTTTGGCTGAAAAAGGAAGACAAGAAACAAGGAGATAGGGGAGGGATGGGATTATAAAATGGCAGAGTTGAGCATGCCCATACCCTGAGTGAAAGGGACAGTAGAGAGGAGAATCTCAAAGATTCAGGAGAGAAGAAGGCTAAGGGAAAGAGAGCGGCTCCTAAAGAAGAGAAGGCTAGTGTCCAGGTCACCTTGAGCCAGAAGATAGAGAACTCTTGCTTAAAAGGAAGAGCAGGCTGGGCGCAGTGGCTCATGCCTGTAATCCCAGCACTTTGGGAGGCGGAGGCGGGTGGATCACGAGGTCAGGAGTTCAAGACCAGCCTGGCAAAGATGGTGAAACCCTGTTTCTACTGAAAATACAAAAATTAGCCAGGTGCAGTGGTGGGTGCCTGTAATCCCAGCTAGCTGGGAGGCTGAGGCAGGAGAATCGCTTGAATCCGGAAGATGGAGGTTGCAGTGAACTGAGATTTCGCCACTGCACTCTAGACTGGGTGACAGAGCAACACTTCATCTCAAAAAATAGAAAAAGGAAGAAAAAAGGAAGAGAAGTGAGTGAGAACAGGCACTTCTCACTACATGAGCCACTCCTCAAGTGACTGGTCCACTTTTGAGTTCTCTGATGACTCCTCTGCCGATGGCTAAGAATTAAGATGGAAGGGGAGGTAGATTATCAATCATGGAATATCAACCTCAGTACCCTTTTGTCAACACTAACCCCAGAGCATCCCGACTCCTTTGAGAGGGAAGACATATCACATGCCTTAATGTGCTTTATCTTTCAGGATTGTGGAAAGTAAAAATGCAGACTTACCAACAGGAACTGTTGTACTGGCTTCTTCAGGCTGGACAATGCACTCCATTTCTGATGGGAAAGATCTGGAAAAGCTGCCAACAGAGTGGCCAGACACAATACCACTGTCTTTGGCTCTGGGGACAGTTGGCATGACAGGGTGAGTTTTGTGGATATATTTCATTTGTTTGAATGTCTGACACTCTGGTTTTCCAAAATGGTTTGTTCAGAACTTGGTCAACAGGAGGATAATCTGATGCATTATAGGCTCAGGGGCTGATTAGAGAAGATGGCAGGACTAAGAAGGAAGATCGACCTGATATCCATCAATGAGTAAATGGATAAAGAAAATGAGGTCTATATACACAGTAGAATACTATTCAGCCTTAAAAAAGAAGAAAATCGCCGGGCGCGGTGGCTCAGGCCTGTAATCCCAGCACTTTGGGAGGCCGAGGCGGGTGGATCATGAGGTCAAGAGATCGAGACCAGCCTGGTCAACATGGTGAAACCCCGTCTCTACTAAAAATACTAAAAATTAGCTGTGGCACATGCCTGTAATCCCAGCTACTCAGGAGGCTGAGGCAGGAGAATTGCCTGAACCCAGGAGGCGGAGGTTGCGGTGAGCCGAGATCGCGCCATTGCACTCCAGCCTGGGTAACGAGTGAAACTCCGCCTCAAAAAAAAAAAAAAGAAGAAAATCTTGTCATTTGTGACAGCATTGGAGGACTTTATGTTTAGTGAAATAAGCCAGACACAGAAAGGAAAATACCATATGATGTCACTTAAACATGGAATCGAAAAAAAGTTGAACTCATAGAATAAAAGAGTAGAATGATGTTTACCAGGGGCGAGAAGCTGAAGGGTTGGGGAGGTGTTGGCAAAAGGATACAAAATTTTAGTTAGACAAAGGAATAAGTTCTCTATTGTACAACATGGTGACTATAGTTAATATGAATAATAACATATTATATGCTTGAAATTTGTGGGGGTTTTGTTTTTTGTTTTTTTGTTTTTGAGATGGAGTCTTGCTCTGTTGCCCAGGATGGAGTGCAGTGGTGTGATCTCAGATCACTGCAACCTCCACCTCCCAGTTTCATGCAATTCTCCTGCCTCAGCCTCCTGTGTAGCTGGGATTACAGGCATGCACCATCGTGCCTGGATGATTTTTGTATTTTTAGTAGAGATGAGATTTTCCCATGTTGGCCAGGCTGGTCTTGAATTCCCAACGTCAAGTGATCTACCTGCCGCAGTCTCCCGAAGTAGTGGAATTACAGGTGTGAGCCATTGTGCCCGACCTATATACTTGAAATTTGTTAAGAGAATATATTTTACATGTTCTCACCATACTGTGTGAAGTAATGTGTATTATTAATTAGCTCGATTAGGTCATTCCACGATATCTATATATTTCAAAACAACATGTATATAATAAATATATATACATAGATTTTTTTGTCAATTAAAAATAAATACATACATAACTAATAAAAGGGATGAGGCTGGGCTCAGTGATTCACACCTGTAATCCCAGTACTTTGGGAGGCTGAGGCAGGTGGATCACTTGAGCCCAGGAGGTTGAGACCAGCCTGGACAACCTGGTAAAACCTCATCTCTACAAAAGATAGAAAAATTAGCTGGGCATGGTGTTGCACACCTATAGTCCCAGGTTTTGGGGAGGCTGAGCAGGAGGATTGATTAAATCTAGGAGGTCGAGACTGCTAAGATTGCACCATTGCACTCCAGCCTGGGCGATAGAATGAGACCCTGTCTCAAAAATAAAATAAAATAAAGAAATGTGGGATAGAGTTAGCTTTGGGACTGGAGGAAAGAGGGAGAAAATCGGGTCAGAGACCCTCCGGTACAAAGAGAAAGTGACAGCGAGAAGCAGCACGGCATGATTCCTCCCAGGCAGTTGCCAAAGGCAGCACAAAGGAACCAGCTCCTCCCATCCCTGGGAAGCTCTTGGTCTTCTTTTTAAACTTTAGAGTTTAAAAAAGGGAAAGGATATCAGTGTACCTTGGCCTCTCTTTATTGTCTCTCCTTCCTCACCTTTCCCTGTGTGCCACTGAGGTCGTGAGGTAAGGGCATCTGAAGTCTAAATAATTGAGATGAAGCCAGGCATGGTGGCTTACACCAGTAATCCCAGCACTTTGGGAGGCTAAGGCAGGAGGATAACTTGAGCTCAGTAGTTCAAGACCAGCCTGGGTAACACAGTGAGACCACGTCTCTACAAAAATATACAAAAATTAGCCAGATACTGTGGCATGCCTCTGTAGTTACAGCTACTCAGGAGACTGGGTTGGGAAGATGGCTTGAGCCTGGGAAGTCAAGGCTGCAGTGAGCTGTAACTGTGCCACTGCACTCCAACCTGGGTGACACAGCAAGGCCCTCTCTCTAAATAAATAGTAATTGAGATGAATCAGAAGTACAGTTGTAATGCCATTCAGCTTGGTACAGATCTAAAACCCTTAAGCTTCTCATGGCCTCATGACTCCAGAAGACTTCTGGTCAGTTCATCCTGTGTCCATTCTCCAGTTCCCAACTGAAGTTTAGATGTCCAGTTTCCCTTTATGCCGTGAAGAAGCAAGGTCATTATCTTTGGGGGGTCCCTAAGACTTTCCTCACCTGAAATTCGTTACTTCCTTGCTCTAAGTTGTGAGATCCTTTTGCCCTCTTCCTTCTTCCCACCCTTCCTTCCCCTTACTTTTTTACACTTTGAAGGTCTTCTTAAGAATGAAATGGTAATATCATTACCATTGGTAATGCCATTATCAAGGTAATGATATTACCATTTATCGGCCTCTAAATAAAAACAACTCCTATGTACCCCAAATTTATATTTCACTCAAAATTTGAACTCCTCAAAATTGCCACTGCCAAGGACACCATTGTGAAAGTAGAGGATGCGTAATACCTTCTTACATCCAATTAGTGGACACCAAACAATTCCAGCTCTTCTTGGTCTTTCCTGCCAGCCCTTTACCCTCTATGGATGAGAGTTCTTCCTCTCTCTTTGTTATCCTGTCCATCATTCCCTCTGGACTGTAAGCCAGGTGTAGGGGAGGAGAAATGAAGGGAGACACGAGGAAATTTTGGTTGTGAAGAAAGTCTTCTCTCATTTCACCTTCCAAACTGGCAATCCAATGAGATGTGGTAGTGTCTTCACCCAGTCCCCATCGGTACTGCCTGTGCTGCATCTTGGTAGGTCCAGCAGCTCTTTTCCTGAAAGCCAACTTTGACATCTTACTTGGGGTCATATGGGGAAATTTCAGAAGGTCTTCCATACCACTTTGGAGCCATGGAAAACTCCAGATGCTGTCTGTGACCCTCACATGCCTAATATCGTAGCATTCTAGCTATTCTGTGGGTATGTCACCACGATAACATGGGGGCTTTTCCCATGAAGTTCATAATCTCCCTAGCATTTATATAGGAATGAGGAATAGCTCTCTCTTCTTGAGTCCCCAAAGTTTGAGGAAGACAATCTGTCTTTTGCCCCTGAAATTTGACCTGTGAATGGACAGGATACAGCCCCTTTCTAGCCAACTCTCCCTTCCCTCCATAGTTCACATCATCTTTATTCCTTTCTGAAAGTACAGATGGAGGAAGTAAACCAACAGTGGCTGGTAATATTTATCTCCTATATTTTTATCTTTTACTTGGACCCATGGCACTGGGCTATTGAGAAGGCCTTCAAGACATATATAAATTAATTATAGGGGAAAGAAACAACTCTATTCACATATCCTTAATTTTCTTCCCTTAGCCTGACTGCCTACTTTGGCCTACTTGACATCTGTGGTGTGAAGGGTGGAGAAACAGTGATGGTTAATGCAGCATCTGGAGCTGTGGGCTCTGTTGTGGGGCAGATTGCAAAGCTCAAGGTAAGTGCCCTTCTCCAGTAACAAGCCTTTATTCAAGACCTACTGGGAATGCAACGGTGAACACAGCAGATCTTCCTTGGCCTCAGGGAGTTTATCATCTAGCGGTCTTGTTTAGAAGTTGGAGATTGAGAAATTGGAGGAATGGGAAAAACTATAGCAAAGATAAGCTGAACACTGTTTTGTTTTGTTTTGTTTTGTTTTCAATTTTACTTTAGGTTCTGGGGTACATGTGCAGGTCATCCAGGGCTGTTGCATAGGTGCATACATAACCAGGTGTTTTGCTGCCTCTATTCCCCCTTCATCTATATCCGGCATTTCTCCCCATGTTATCCCTCCCCACCCTTCCCACCCCCAACTGTCCCTTCCCTAGCCTCCTGCCACCGCCGCCTGCCCCCAATATGTGATGCTCCTCTCCCTGAGTCCATGTATTCTCACTGTTCAACACCTGCCTATGAATGAGAACATGCAGTGTTTGGTTTTCTGTTCTTGTGTCAGTTTGCTGAGAATGATGGTTTCCAGATTCATCCAAGTCCGTACAAAGGACGTGAACTCATCGTTTTTTTTTTATGGCTGCATAGTATTCCATGGTGTATATGTGCCACATTTTCTTTGTCCAGGCTATCATTGATGGGTATTTGGGTTGGTTCCAGGTCTTTGCTATTGTACACAGGGCCGTAATGAATATACGTGTGCCTATGTCTTTATAATAGAATGATTTATAGTCCTTTGGGTATATACCCAGTAATGGGATTGCTGGGTCAAGTGGAATTTCTATTTCTAGATCCTTGAGGAATCACCACACTGTCTTCCACAATGGTTGAACTAATTTACACTTCTACCAAAAGTGTAAATGTGTTCCTATTTCTCCACATCCTCTCCAGCATCTGTTGTCTCCAGATTTTTTAATGATCGCCATTCTAACTGTGTGAGATGATACCTCAATGCAGTTTTGATCTGCATTTCTCTAATGACCAGCAATGATGAGCATATTTTCATATGTTTTTTGGCCTCATATATGTCTTCTTTTGAGAAGTGCCTGTTCATATCCTTTGCCCACTTTTGAATGGTTTGAATGGGTTTGTTTGTATTTTTCTTGTATAGCTCTTTTAGTTCTTTGTAGATCTGGATATTAGTTTTTTCAGATGGGTAGATTGCAAAAATTTTTTTCCCATTCTGTTGGTTGCTGGTTCACTCTAATGATGGTTTCTTTTGCTGTACAGAAGCTCTGAAGTTTAATTAGATCCCATTAGTCTATTTTGGCTTTTGCTGCCGTTGTTCTTGGTGTTTTAGTCATGAAGTCCTTGCCTATGCCTATGTCCTGGATGGTTTTGCCTACGTTTTCATCTAGAGTTTTTACAGTGTTAGGTTTTATGTTTAAATCTTTAATCCATCTAGAGTTAATTTTAGTGTAAGGTGTCAGGAAGGGGTCCAGTTCCTGTTTTCTGCACATGGCTAGCCAGTTTTCCCAACACCATTTATTAAACACGGAGTCCTTTCCCCAATGCTTGTTTTTGTCAGGTTTGTCAAAGATCAGATGGTTGTAGATGTGTGGTGTTGCCTCCAAGGCCTCTGTTCTGTTCCATTGGTCTATATCTCTGTTTTGGTACCAGTACCATGCTGTTTTGATTACTGTAGCCTTGTATAGTTTGAAGTCCAGCAGCGTGATGCCTCCAGCTTTGTTCTTTTTGCTTAGGATTGTCTTGGCTATGTGGGCTCTCTTGTGGTTCCATGTGAAGTTTAAAGTGCTTTTTTCCAGTTCTGTGAAGGTCATTGGTAGCTTGATGGGGATAGTGTTGAATCTGTAAATTACTTTGGGCAGAATGGCCATTTTCACAATATTGATTCTTCCTAACCATGAGCATGGAATGTTTTTCCATCTGTTTGTGTCCTCTCTTATTCCGTTGAGCAGTGATTTGTAGTTCTCCTTGAAGAGGTCCTTTACATCCTTTGTCAGTTGTATTCCTAGGTATTTTATTCTCTTTGTAGCAATTGTGAATGGGAGTTAGCTCTTGATTTGGCTCTCTGTTTGTCTGTTATTGGTTTATAGGAATGCTTGTGATTTCTGCACATTGATTTTGTATCCTGAGACTTTGCTGAAGTTGCTTATCAGTTTGAGGAGATTTTGGGCTGAGATGATAGGGTCTTCTAAATATACAATCATATCGTCTGCAAATAGAGACAATTTGACTTCCTCCTTTCCTAATTGAATACCCTTTCTTTTTCTTGCCTGGTTGCTCTGGCTAGAACTTCCAGTACAATATTGAATAGGAGTGGTTAGAGAGGGCATTCTTGTCTAGTGCCTCATTTCAAAGGGAATGCTTCCAGCTTTTGCCCGTTCAGTATGATATTGGCTGTGGGTTTGTCATAAATAGCTTTTATTATTTTATGATACCTTCCATTGATACCTAGTTTATTGAGAGTTTTTAGCGTGAAGGGCTGTTGAATTTTGTCAAAGACCTTCTCTGCATCTATTGAGATACTCATGTGGTTTTTGTCTTTGGTTCTGTGACGGATTACGTTTATGAACTTGCGTATGTTGAACTAGCCTTGCATCCCCAGGATGAAGCCTACTTGATCGTGATGAATAGGTTTTTGATGTACTGTTGCATTTGGTTTGCCAGTATTTTATTGAAGATTTTTTCATCTATATTCATCATGGATATTGGCCTGACGTTTTCTTTTTTGTTGAGTCTCTGCCTGGTTTTGGTATCAGGATGATGTTGGTCTCATAAAATGAGTTAGGGAGGCTTCCCTCTTTTTGTATTATTTAGTATAGTTTCAGAATGATTGGTACCAGCTCCTCTTTGTACATCTAGTAGAATTTGGCTGTGAAACTGTCTGTACCTGGACTTTTTTTTGTTGGTAGGCTATTGATTGCTGCCTCAACTTCAGAGGTTGTTATCAGTCTATTCAGGGTTTCAACTACTTCCTGGTTTAGTCTTTGTAGAGTGCAAGTGTCCAGGGATTTATCCATTTCTTCTAGATTTACTGGTTTGTGTGCATAGAGTCATTTGTAGTAATCTTTGATGGTAGTTTGTATTTCTGTGGAATCAGTGGTGATATCCCCTTTATCTTTTTTTTTATTGCTTCTATTTGATTCTTGTCTATTTTCTTTTTTATTAATTTGGCTAGTGGTCTGTTGATTTTGTTGATCTTTTCAAAAAACCAGCTCCTGAATTTATTGATTTTTTTTTGAAGGTATTTTTGTGTCTCTAGCTCCTTCAGTTCAGCTCTGATCTTAGTTATTTCTTGTTTTCTGCTAGCTTTTGAGTATTTTTGATCTTGCTCCTCTAGCTCTTTCATTTTTCATGATAGGGTGTCAATTTTAGAACTTTCCTTCTTTCTCATGTGGGCAGTTATTGCTATAAATTTCCCTCTCGACACTGCTTTAAAGGTGTCCCAGAGATTCTGATAAGTTGTGTCTTCATTCTGTTTGGTTTCGAAGAACATCTTTATTTCTGCCTTCATTTCATTGTTTATCCAGTTGACACTCAGAAGCAAGTTGTCCAAGGAGTTGTGCGGATTTGAGTGAGTTTCTTAATCCTGAGTTCTAATCTGATTGCACTGTTGTCTAATAGACTGTTTGTTATGATTTCCATTCTTTTGCATTTGCTGAGGAGTGATTTGCTTCCAAATATGTGGTCAATTTTAGAGTAAGTGCAATGTGGTGCTGAGAAGAATGTATATTCTGTGGATTTGGGGTGGAGTATTCTGTATATGTCTATTAGGACTGCTTGGTCCAGCTCTGCATTCAAGTCCTGGATGTCCTTGTTAATTTTCTGTCTCATTGAGCTCTCTAATACTGACAGTGGAGTGTTCAAGTCTCCCACTATTATTGTGTGGGAGTCTAAATCTCATTTTTGGTCATTGAGAACTTGCTTTATGTATCTGGGTGCTCCTGTATTGTGTGCATATATATTTAGAATAGTTAGCTCTTCTTGTTGGATTGATCCTTTTACCATTATGCAATGCCCTTCTTTGTCTCTTTTGATCTTTGTTGGTTTGAAGTCTGTTTTATCAGAGACTAGGATTGCAACCCCTGCTTTTTTTTTGTTCTCCATTGCTTGCTGAATCTTCTTCCATCCCTTTATTTTGAGTCTATGTGTGTCTTTGTATGTGAGATGGGTTTCCTGAATATAGCACACCAATGGGTCTTGACTTTTTATCCAGCTTGCCAGTCAGTGTCTTTTGATTGGGGCTTTTAGGCTGTTTATATTCAGTGTTAATATTGTTAGAACATTGTTATTTGATAATATTACAGGTAATCAAGTCAGAAATGGCCTCTTTCTAGAGTAGTGAGTTTATCAGTATTAAGCATTTTCATATTTTTTATTGGACATTCTAGGGCTGCAGCTTAATCTTATTTCTTCATTATTATCCTTAGCAATAGAAGAAGGGACTTGAGATCAGCCAACTAAGAGTCATCACCCACGTGGCCCCACTGCAAAGGCTGTTGTACTAGAAAGAAATGGGCATTCAGCCCAGAGCAGTGGGGCCATGGCTTGGTAACTAACTCCTGGGAAGTACCCAGGACATGGAAACATTGGCTCTGATTTAGGCAGATGTCTGCTCAAGAGATCCAATCATCAGATTGGATGTATAGAGCAGGCGACAACTCAGACACAGTAGGGATTCGTCATTACGTAGTGGGAACGTTCCAAGGTGATCTGGCTTGACTGATCCTTTGCCCAAGGCTGGGATACAGGATTCAGGACCTAGGTCCTAGGGGACAAGTTAAGTGGAATACAGATGAGTACAGGGCTGCAGCCAACAGCCAAGGGTTTGAACTGGTCTCCAGTCTAAATAGGAGCTTGGAATACAAATACGAGGCTACCATAGAAGTTGTAGAATAATTTGTTAAGTAAGTAAGTAAATAAGAATAGATATCAAATTTTATTAAATGCCATTCCAGTATTTATCAGGTTAACTTTTCAGTGAATGAATTACATTAGTTTTCCAATGTCGAATCATTCTAACAATCCCAGAATAAGCTTTACCTATGTATGGTATATTATGGGTTTATACCTTTGGAATTCACTTGGTAACATTTAAAATAGAAATTTTGTATCTATATTCACAAGTGAGTTTGGTTTAAAGTTTACTTTTTGTTCTGGAATTTAGCTAGGCTTGGATTATGCTAAAATTACAAAATGATTTAGGATTATTTCTGATATTCCAATTTCAAATATCTTATTAAAACCACAAGGGGCCGGGCACGGTGGCTCAAGCCTGTAATCCCAGCACTTTGGGAGGCCGAGGCGGGTGGATCACGAGGTCGAGAGATCGAGACCATCCTGGTCAATATGGTGAAACCCTGTCTCTACTAAAAAATACAAAAAATTAGCTGGGCATGGTGGCTCGTGCCTGTAATCCCAGCTACTCAGGAGGCTGAGGCAGGAGAATTGCCTGAACCCAGGAGGCGGAGGTTGCGGTGAGCCGAGATGGCGCCATTGCACTCCAGCCTGGGTAACAAGAGCGAGACTCCGTCTCAAAAAAAAAAAAAAAAAAAAAAAACAACACAAGGGGCTTTTATCCCTTAAGTTTGATAGGACTTACCCTTAAACCTATTCTTTTATATTCGACCTTTCTGTCCATTTTATGTGTGTTTCTGTAAAATGCAGCTATTTGCATTTTATTTTTACCCCATATGAAAGTCTCAGTGTTGCAGTAGCTAAATTTAAGCCACTTGTATTAATTGTCATAATTGGAATGTTTGTTCATATTTATATTATCTTACTTTGTTTTCCATTTACTGATTATTTCTTTCTGTGTTATTTTCTTTGTTCTTTTTCCTCTGATTACTTAGAACCTAATTTTATTTACATTCTGCTAGTGTTTACCTTTTTACCAATTATTTAAAATTTGTTTTATTTATATCTTGCTATTATTTGTGTACCTATTTTATATACAAAAAATAAACATATATATGTATATGAACTTGTAACATAGTATATTTTCCCCATATTCTACCCCATCTTAATTTTTATTCAATAATCTAATAAATAGTAAAATATCATATTATTATTAAAACTTTTTGGTTATGGCATCTGAAAATTTCTTTTAATTTTGATTGGTATAGAATTCAAAGGACTTGCCAGGTGCAGTGGTGTGTGCCTATAATCCCAGCTTCTCAGAATTCTGGCTGAGGCAAGAGGATCCCTTGAGCTCAGGAGTTCAAGACTAGTCTGGGCAATGTTTTGAGACCTTGTCTCCAAATTTAAAAAAAGAGTTCAAAGGACCCAATCCCTTTACCTCAGAGCTCTATAAAATTACTCTATTTTTTCAATTTCTATTTAATGTTGCAGATGACACATTCAAAGCCAATCTGATTCTCTTTCCTTTGTATGTAATTAGACTTTTCTTTTAGGTGCTTATAAGTATTTCTTGTTATTCTTTGAATTTAGAAATGTCACCAGGAAATGTCTGTATCTGTCTTTGTTTAATTCTGTCTGGAACTTAGCCGTTATAATATGAAAACCAATGTTTTTCTTCAGATGAAGAATAGTTTTCTTCTTCTGTTTAATTATTGTATTTTTCATCTATTCTGTTTTCTTCATGAGGAATGATATATATTTATTCTGTTTCCCTTAGGACTATTCTTCTCATATTCTATCTTTGCTCTCATATTTACATCTTTTGCACTTTTTCCTCTGAATTCTGTACTTTCTTGATCTGGTCCTCCAATTGAATTACATGACTTTCAGCAGCATCAGTTTCTAGATTAGCAATTAAGTTTTTCATAGCTGAGGATCATTATATTCTGGGATTGCTTCCTTTCCCAGTAATCTGCACTTGTTAACTAATGCAGTATCCTTTTGAATGTCACTGAGAAACGAAATGGTATGAACACATTTTTTAAAATAGCTACTCTTCCCTGTAGAAATTCCCCTGGAGACCGCCATGCTAAGGAATTTATACTCAGTCCCTAAAGAAGTAGCATGATTGGTTCTGCTCTTTAGAACCATCACTTGGGCCTAGGTAGGAGAATAGTTCCTAGGGACACTATACTGGAGACAAGAAGTCCATTTAGGAGACTCCTACGATAATTCAAATGAAAATCTTGGTGCATCGACAGAGATTAGAAGTCAGAGTCAGCTTTTAAGGGTGTTTGGTTTAAGAAGAGGAGGAAAACCTGATGGTTGGATGTAGATCGTAAGACAAAGGAAAGCCTCTCTTTTGAGCCATGTTTCAGGTTTGGATAACTGAGTAATATCATTCTCTGCAAGAGGATAGAAAAGAAACAAGTAAGAATCAAGGAAAAAAGTATATTCCCTTTTGGACACACTAATTACGAGGGACCTGCAGGCCATCCAAGTGTGAGGACATCTATTGTTGGAAATACTGATTTGGAACTCGGGAGAGAAAAGTCGGCTAGAATTAATAGATAAAGTTAATAGATTAATTAATAATCGGCCTGAAGGAGGTCATAAGAGTGAAAGAGGTCAGCCTATAAAAGTCTGTATTCTTGCCGGGCGCAGTGGCTCACGCCTGTAATCCCAGCACTTTGGGAGGCCGAGGCGGGTGGATCACGAGGTCAAGAGATCGAGACCAACCTGGTCAACATGGTGAAATCCCATCTCTACTAAAAATACAAAAAATTAGCTGGGCATGGTGGTGTGTGCTTGTAATCCCAGCTACTCAGGAGGCTGAGGCAGGAGAATTGCCTGAACCCAGGAGGGGGAGGTTGCGGTGAGCCGAGATTGCGCCATTGCACTCCAGCCTGGGTAACAAGAGCAAAACTCCATCTCAAAAAAAAAAAAAAAAATCAGCTGGTGGAACTATGAACCAAATAAATGCAGAAGGGACCTGCTGGGTGGTCAGAAGCAAGCTGAAGCTGGGTTGTAGGAGGTCCAGGGACTAATTTCACCTGTGGGATCTGTTGGACCATTATGGTATTCCTTATATATGTGACTCAGTGCCTAAGAGGGTGTTCTTAGAGAACCTAGGCATACTAGAGCAGGAAAGTAGTGCCGGTCCATGCTTGTGGCTTATTAATGGTGTCCACCTTCTTTTTCTATTTAGGGCTGCAAAGTTGTTGGAGCAGTAGGGTCCGATGAAAAGGTTGCCTACCTTCAAGAGCTTGGATTTGATGTTGTCTTTAACTACAAGACAGTAAAGTCTTTGGAAGAAACCTTGAAGAAAGCCTCTCCTGATGGTTACGATTGTTATTTTGATAATGTAAGTACAAACTGGACTTAACATTTGATTTATTAATGAAGTACTTTAATTAAGTACTTTAATTAATGCCTTACTATGTAAGGCAGGAGTCCCCTACCCCGGGCCATGGACTGTTAGGAGTCCATAGCCTACCAGGGACTGGGAGGCACAGCAGGAGGTAAGGGACAGGTGAGCAAGCAAAGCTTCATCTGTATTTACATACCCTCCCCGTCACTCCCATTACTGCCTGAGCTCCGCCTCCTGTCAGATCAGCAGTGGCAATAGATTCTCATAGGAACGCAAACCTTGCTGTGAACTATGCATGTGACGGATCTAGGTTGTTCATTCCTTATGGGGATCTAATGCCTGATGATCTGTCACTCTCTCCCATCACCCCCAGAAGGGACTGTCTAGTTGCAGGAAAATTCACCCACCAATTCTACGTTATGGTGAGTTGTATAATTATTTCATTATATATTACATTGTGATAGGAATAGAAATAAAGTGCACAATAAACACAGTGTACTTGAATCATCCCGGAAACTGTCCCCCCACAGTCGGTGGAAAAATTGTCTTCCAATGAAACTGGTCCCTGGTGCCGAAAAGGTTGGGGACCGCTGATATAGGGGAACATATTTCTAGAGTTTCCATCTGGGCTACATGAAGAAAGTATATATGCCTTTTTTAAAAAGCAGCTTTATTGAGATATTATTCACGCACCACGTAATTCACTTATTTAACGTGTAGAAGTCAATGTTTTTTTACTATATTGGCAAAATTGTACAACCAGTTTAGGAATATTTTCATCAGCCCAAAAAGAAATAATATTAGCAGCCACTATCCATTACCCACTCTTCTCCCCACTGAAAGTGGTCTTTTATGACTGGCTTCTTTCACTTAGAAAAATGTTTTCAAGTTTCATTCATGTTGTAGAATTCATCAGTGCTTTATTCCTTTATTTGTTTTTTGAGACAAGGTGTCACTCTGTCACCTAGGCTGGAATGCAGTGGTACAATCATGGCTCACTGCAGCCTCGATCTCACTGGCTCAAGCGATCCTTCCACCTCAGCCTTCCAAGTAGTTGGAACTGCAGGCATGTGCCACCACCCCTGACTAATTTTTTTTTTTTGAGAGGGAGTTTCGCTCTTGTTGCCCAGGCTGGAGTGCAATGGCGAGATCTCGGCTCACCGCAACCTCTGCCTCCTGGGTTCAGGCAATTCTCCTGCCTCAGCCTCCTGAGTACCTGGGATTACAGGCACGCGCCACCATGCCCAGCTAATTTTTTGTATTTTTAGTAGAGACGGGGTTTCACCATGTTTCCCAGACTGGTCTGGAACTCCTGGGCTCAAGCGATCGTTCCACCTCAGTCTCCCGAACTGCTGGGATTACAGGTGTGAGCCACCGCACCCAGCCTGATGGTTATTAGTTTATACTTTCTGGCTACTATGTATAATGTTACTACGAACATTCATGCAGAGGTTTTTGTGTAGACATTTTTTTTTTTTTTTTTGAGACGGAGTTTCGCTCTTGTTACCCAGGCTGGAGTGCAATGGCGCGATCTCAGCTCACCGCAACCTCCGCCTCCCGGGTTCAGGCAATTCTCCTGCCTCAGCCTCCTGACTAGCTGGGATTACAGGCAAGCGCCACCATGCCCAGCTACTTTTTTGTGTTTTTAGTAGAGATGGGGTTTCACCATGTTGACCAGGATGGTCTCGATCTCTCGACCTCGTGATCCACCCGCCTTGGCCTCCCAAAGTGCTGGGATTACAGGCTTGAGCCACCGTGCCCGGCCTGTTTATTACATTGTTAAACAGTTAATAATGATTGTGGCTTAATGGTTCTCCTGAATCTTCTAGTATTTACATTATTTAACGTTTTGTCTTTCGTTTTATTTTTCCTGTCTGTTTAGGTAGGTGGAGAGTTTTCAAACACTGTTATCTCCCAGATGAAGAAATATGGAAGAATTGCCTTATGTGGAGCCATCTCTACATATAACAGAACTGGCCCACTTCCCCCAGGTAATGAGCATGTGCACACGATCCCACATGCCGCAGGGCTGGACAAAGAATCACTTGAACCCAGGAGGTGGAGGTTGCAGTGAGCTGAGATCACACCACTGCACTCCAGCCTGGTAACAGAGCGAGACTCTCTCTCAAGAAAAAAAGAAAAAAGAAAGAGGCATTTTCATTTGACTCAAGAACATACCTTTTATAACTTATACATTTGACTTTATTATATATTGAGGTTCTCTGATCAGTCCTATAACCTCATTGTCCTATAATTAAAAGTATGGGAAAGTATTCAAAAGGTGTATAAAGGACAAAGTTGGAGGACTGACACATTGCAATTTCAAAACCTGATACAGATATGCCATAGGCCAGTGACTCTGAAATTACTAGAAAGATTTTCTTATATTCTTTTTTTTTTTGTTTTAAAGGTAGAGTCTCACTTTGTGAAAGCTTAGGAGTTTGAGACCAGCCTGGGCAACATGGCAAAACCCAGTCTCTACAAAAAATACAAAAATAAGTTGGGCATGGTGGTATGTACCTGTAGTCCCAGCTACTCAAGAGGCTGAGGTAGGAAGACTGCTTGAGCCTGGGAGGCTGAGGCTGCAGTGAGCTGTGTTCATGCCACTGCACTCCAGCCTGGGTGACAAGGTGAGAGCCTGTCTCAAAATAACAACAACAACAACAACAACAAAAGAAATAAAAATATAGGCCGGGCGCGGTGGCTCAAGCCTGTAATCCCAGCACTTTGGGAGGCCGAGGCGGGTGGATCACGAGGTCAAGAGATCGAGACCATCCTGGTCGACATGGTGAAACCCCGTCTCTACTAAAAATACAAAAAATCAGCTGGGCATGGTGGCGTGTGCCTGTAATCCCAGCCACTCAGGAGGCTGAGGCAGGAGAATTGCCTGAACCCAGGAGGCGGAGGGTGCGGTGAGTGGAGATCGCGCCATTGCACTCCAGCCTGGGTAACAAGAGCGGAACTCCGTCTCAAAAAAAAAAAAAATATGCAGGTTCTTCTGGATATTAGAGACATTGCTGGAGGTCAGGGAGGGGTAAAGGGTGACTTGCTGTGGGTGAAGGGAAGGGCAGGCTGCCACATCCTTCAGAAATCTTGGGCAGTGCTTCTTGGAACACTAAGGCACCTTGGCCTCAGCAGGCTGGCGATTGTCACTAAAACGGAAGGAAGCAGCAGTACCCCTCCATTCCTTGACTGTCATTGTTTTATTTCTCTGGTGCCCTGCCATGCCCTCCATTCCCCACTCTCTTATGCTGAAACCACACCCCTCCGACTCCACAATCACAGAGGTCCAAAGGCATTGTCTACCAGAGAACCATATTCATTAAATCCCAGTCCTGTGAGATGCCTTGTACAGGCCTCTCATTTTCCAGGTGGGGAGATGCATGGCTGAGACAACCAGAGACTCTCTGAACTCCTATTGGCAACAGACTCGAAACAAAGACCATCTTCTAGGCTATACGGAGTCTGGTTCTGCTACAGTGATTATTGTGCTGCTAAGAGAGATCACATGTAACCTGTGGTCCCCTAAAAAAGGGAGAAAGAAGGAAAAAAATGAATCTTCCAGACTCTAATCAGGATCCAGGCAACCATAAATCAGTTGGTTATTTATTCTATGATGGGCTTGACTAATGGAAATGAAACCTTATAGCCCCACTAGTTAACAACCCCACAACTGTAGGGAGACAGGTGGGCTAGAAAGGAAGGAGCTGACAAAGGGCAACTGGTAGATTCCCTCTCAAGTTGTAAAAAAATCAAAACTGTTAACAAGAAGGAAACTCCAGATGTACTTGGCAATCTAATTGTTAGGGACTTTTTCCCCCTATAATTTTCTAACTGGTGCTAAGCTGGAATCATGGGAAATCATCCGCCTGCCAAATGAGCGAAGCTACAGGAGGCCTTTTCTTAACCCCAGTCCAATTAGGAATAGCCAAATATTTTGGATACAGTAACTTGATCTAGTCTTTTTAGCAATTAGTCTTTGGAAGCTCAGCTGCTCAGACAGGACTTTGAGATGACAGCTGGCCTTGTCCATTCTATTTTAATCAGATGGAATTCTACCCTGCCACAGATCCCCAGAAATTCTAACATATTCCACTGATAGGATAGCTCAGAGGGAAGTAATGATTTCTTCCAGCTTTAATGCCACATTTGCTGTTTTGTTCTTAGTAAAAAAACAAAAACCAACATTCTCATCAATACGCAGAAACCCAGAAACAGCATTTCACTTTTATTTTCCTTTTTTGTTTGTTCGTTTGTTTGTTTTGAGACAAGGTCATTCTCTGTCTTCCAGACTGGAGGGGTTTTTTTTATTTTTATTTTTATTTTTTTTGAGACAGGGTCTCACTTTGTTGTCCAGGCTAGAATACAGTGGTGCAGTCATGTATCACTGCGGCCTCCATCTTCTGGGCTCAAGTGATCCTCCCACCTCAGCCTTCTGAGTAGCTAAGACTACAGACAGGTGCCACCATACTGGCTAGTTGTTATTTCTTTCGTAGAGATTAGGTCTTTCTGTGTTGCCCAAGCTGGTCTCGAACACCTGAGCACAAGCGATCTTCCCACTTTGCCTCCCAGATTGCTGGTATTTCAGGCGTGAGCCACCATGCCAGCCCACTTTCATTTAAGATGAGGACATGAGGGCCGGGCGCGGTGGCTCAAGCCTGTAATCCCAGCACTTTGGGAGGCCGAGGCGGGTGGATCACAAGGTCAAGAGATCGAGACCATCCTGATCAACATGGTGAAACCCCGTCTCTACTAAAAATACAAAAAATTAGCTGGGCATGGTGGCACGTGCCTGTAATCCCAGCTACTCAGGAGGCTGAGGCAGGAGAATTGCCAGAACCCAGGAGGCGGAGGTTGCGGTGAGCTGAGATCGCGCCATTGCACTCCAGCCTGGGTAACAAGAGCGAAACTCCGTCTCAAAAAAAAAAGATGAGGACATGAGAGTTCCAATCCTCAACTCACAAAGGATAGTTTTTATGAGTCTTCTGAAGAAGCACTCTTTCCATCTCATTCATCTTGCATTACTTTCTTTTGGTTCAGGACAAAGCTTCATATTTCTGACTGCTAATGTTACTTTCCTCAAAGCAGTGAGTATGAATTTAGGCTGAGTGGTGCCAGTGATCAAAGATGCTGAAGCTAGATTCCACCACTCATAGCACATCTGGCTCTGATATTCCCAAGTCATCTTCACCTGACCTTCTGGAACTTGAAAGCCTATCCTCGGGTGTCATTCTCTCAGTTTCTAGTCAGTTAGGACACTTGGGAAAATAAACCAGACAACCAAGAAACATTTTCTTCCTCACACACAGAAGGGTAGTACCTTCTTTACAGGCTGCAGGACAGCTGTGTGCTTTTTCTGGGGTGCTGGTTCTCAAAGTGTGGGACAAGGACCAGCAGCATCACCATCTCCTGGGAGCCTGTTAGAAATACAAATTCTTAGCCAGGCACAGTGGTTCATGCCTGTCATCCCAACACTTTGGGAGGCCAAGGCAGGAGAATTGCTTGAGCCCAGGAGTTTGAGACCAGGGCAATAGAATGAGACCTCATCTCTGACAAAGGAAACCTAAAAAAAATTAGCCAGGTGTGGTGGCATGCACCTGTAGTCCCAGCTACTTGGTAGGTTTAGGTGGGAAGATCGCTTGAGCCCAGGAGGCAGAGGTTGTAGTGAGCCAAGATCGTGCCACTGCACACTAGCCTGGATGACAGAGCAAAACCCTACCTCAAAAAAAAAAAAAAAAAAAAAGAAACACAAATTCTTGAGGCCCACCCTAGATCCACAGTCAGAAATTGGCAGAGGGGTCCAGCAATCTCTTTCCAAAAGACTTCCATGTGATTCTGATACACACTAAGGTTTGAAATCCACTGTCTGGCTGACTCTTGGCATCCTGAAATAGCCAGGGCAGGAGCAGGTGTGAGAGCTGCTGAGTCTCCTGATGCACTCTGTCTCCCTGGCTCCTAGGCTGGGCATGGACACTTAATTGTTTTACATCTCACAGAAAGAAATAGATTTATGGCATAGAATGACTACATATTGGGAATACCAGGGTATTAATTCTTGAGGAGTGTAGAACATTTTTATATGATATCTTCGGGGCCTCTTTCTGTTTCATAAAATTAGTTGGAAAGTGTTTGGTGAACCTTGTTTCTGGCACGTGAGTGATAAATGCTCCCTGGTTGCCCAGCCTGTGCAAGGACTCTGAGTGTGTATAATTTCCTATTGCTGCTTTAACAAATTACCACAAATTTAGCAGCTTAACACAACACAAATTTGCTGGGCACAGTGGTTCATGCCTGTAATCCCATCCCTTTGGGAGACTGAGGTGGGAGGATCACTTAAGCCCAGGAGCCCGGGCTGAAACAATGTTTTTTATAATTTTTTTTTTTTTTTTGGTAGAAATAGGGTCTCATTATGTTGCCTAAGATCAGACTGGGCAACAGAATGAAATCATGTATCTACAAATAATTTTTAAAAATTAGTTGAGCATGGTTGTTGTGCACCTGTAGTCCTAGCTACCTGGGGACTGAAGTGAAAAGATAGCTTGAGCCAGGAGGTCGAGGCTGCATTTGTAGAGCCTCAGCCCTATAGGGTCGTGGGCTGTCCCCTATAGCTGTGCCAAGGCACAGGATCCGAGACATAAAGAGACAGGACACAGAAGGATTGGAAAAGACAGCTGGGCTCGGGAGGCCACGCCACCTATGAGCGGAGACAGGCGAGGCCCTGAACATCCAGAAGCATCTGTATTTATTGGGTACAAGGCAGGCGGAGGGCTCGTGAGTGAGGTCGTCTGTAGGCTTAATGATAGGGCATACATAATCACGTGAGTAGCGGGAGAGCGGGCCACCCCATTATGTCACCTGGGCAGAGAGGTGGGCCATGCGCAGTAGTAGAGGATCATGTACAGAAAAGGGGTCCACCCCCATTAGGTCACTGACGCAAGGATGTGGGCTGTGTGCAACAGGTGTCATGTGCAATACTTCTTATCCGGGGGCTGGAGGCTTCAAAGGATTCTTATAGAAAGATACTGTAAACCAATGCAGTGGGAGCTGACAGACTTGTGCTCTTCTGTAAGATACTTTATGGGAGGATGATTTGAGCTAGCACAGAAGCGAGAAAAGGCTGGCAGGGTGTACAACTGCCATGACCCCGTCACACCAGAGAGCTTCTTCTCCCTCAGTTATTTGCAGGATCTCAGGCCTGAGGCCTACTTTCCACAGGAACTGGATTCAAGGTACTACAACTCCTTTTTCAGAGGGGAGGCTCTTGCTCCAAGCGCCATACAGTACATGTGCTTTCAGGCAGGGACACATCGCGTGGGTCTTTGGTTCTTGTCCTGGTCTGGCTGTTTTCTCATGTACTGCTTCTATTTTGTGACTGCTCTAGGCATTCCTCCTACTACAAACTACTATATGGTTATGTAGAAGGATTCTATAAATCAGCACTAAATGTGTTAGTACAGCTCCGATTACAATACCTATATGATTATATAGAAAGATTATATGGAACTAAGTATGCTAGATATAAGTACTAAATATGATTATATAAGCTAGATATATGTAAGCAGTAAGTTATATTTCAGTCACTAATTCTATAATTGTTACCCAGGCTGGAGTGCAATGGCGCAATCTCGGCTCACCGCAACCTCCGCCTCCTGGGTTCAAGCAATTCTCCTGCCTCAGCCTCCTGAATAGCTGGGATTACAGGCACGTGCCACCATGCCCAGCTAATTTTTTTTTGTATTTTTAGTAGAGACGGGGTTTCACCATGTTGACCAGGATGGTCTCGATCTCTTGACCTCGTGATCCACCCGCCTCGGCCTCCCAAAGTGCTGGGATTACAGGCTTGAGCCACCGCGCCCGGCAATTTTGGTATTTTTAGTAGTGATGGGATTTCACCATGTTGGCCAGGCTGGTCTCAAACTCTTGACCTCAAGTGATCTGCCCTTGAACACCTGACTATGTGATTCACCCACCTCGGCCTCCCAAAGTGCTGGGATTACAGGCGTGAGTCACTGCGCCTGGGCCCACACATTTATACTTATAGGTCAGGAGGTTAAAAGCAAAATGGATTGGCAGGGCTGCATTCCTTTTGAAGACTCTAGAGGAGAATGTGTTTCCTTGCCTTTTCATGCTTCTACCAGCTACCTGTATTCCTTAGCATGTGGCCCCTTCCTCTGTCTTCAAAGCCAATGGCATAAAATCTTCCTCCTCCTCCTCCTCTCTTTCTCATCTCTGCTTCTATCATCACATATTCTGTTCCTGACTGTAACTTTCCTGTGTCCCTCTTTCCCTTACAAAGACTTTTGCTATTATATTGGGTCCATCATTTATAGTGGAGAATAATCTTCCCATCTCAAGCTTCTTTTTTTTTTTTTTAAGTTAGAGTCTCACCCTGTCACTGAGGCTGGAGTGCAATGGCACAATCTTGGCTTACTGCAACCTCTGCCTCTCGGGTTCAAGTGATTCTCCTGCCTCAGCCTCCCAAGTAGCTGGGACTACAGGCACCTGCCACCGTGCCCTGCTAATTTTTGTGGTTGTTGTTGTATTTTTCTTAGAGATGGGATTTCACTATGTTGGCCAGGCTGGTCTCGAACTCCTGACCTCATGATCCACCCGCTTGGCCTTCCAAAGTGCTGGGATTACAGGCATGAGCCATGGCGCCCCACCTAAGGTTCTTATTAATATCTGCAAAGTCCTTTTTGCCACATAAGGTAACAGGTTCTGGGGTTTTTGGGACATGCATGTCTTCGGGGCCATTATTCTGCCTGCCGCAGAGTGCATGTTGATTGGTCAGCAGTCCTGTGGATCAGAAAGGAATGAGGAAATGGAAGGGAGAACCAACAAGAAACACCCAGCACCAAGCACAGTGACTGTGATCTGTACTGCTGTTTCACCGTGGCCACTTCCCTGGATCCTGTCACCCAAATGTGCCCTTCTCTTCATAGGCCCACCCCCAGAGATTATTATCTATCAGGAGCTTCGCATGGAAGGGTTCATCGTCCACCGCTGGCAAGGAGATGCCCGCCAAAAAGCTCTGAAGGACTTGCTGAAATGGGTCTCAGAGGTAAGGAGCTCTGGAGCCACCCCTTCCAGTTGTACACTAGGTCCCATTCCCTTTTGCCTCTCAAGGCTTCTGTTCCATCGATTCTTCCCTCTCTCTACTGCGTCGTCAGTTTTTCCCTAGTGGGTCATTGTCCTTATAATACAAATATTCCTACTTTTCCCATCTTTGAAAGGAAAACAAAACAACCCTCTGTAAAGCTCATTTTCACTACAAATGAAGGTCCATTTCCCTTCTCTTGCTTTTATAACAAAATGCCTCGAAGTGCTGTCTACATTCACTGTCTGCCATTCCTTTCTTTCCATTCTTCCTTGAACCCACATATCAGGCTTTTGCACAATGCCATTCCTTCCAAAATTACTTTTTTGTTTTTGAAACAGTCTTGCTCTGTTGCCCAGGCTGGAGTGCAGTGATGCATTCTTGGCTCACTGCAACCTTTGCCTCCTGGGGTCAAGCCATTCTCACGCCCCGGCTTCCCAAGTAGCTGGAACTACAGGTGTGCACCACCATGCCAAGCTAACTTTTTGTATTTTTAGTAGAGACAGGTTTTCATCACATTGGTCAGGCTGGTCTCAAGTGATCTGCCTGCCTCAGCCTCCCAAATTGCTGGGATTATAGGCGTAAGCCACCGCACCTGGCCAAAATTAACTTTCGTCAAGGTCACGGGGGTCTCTTACAGAGTGAAATCCACTGGCTGATTCTTAGCCTCACTGGGCTATGGGAAATATTTAACAATGTTCATTCTCTCCTTGATATGCTTTCTTCTGTTGTTTCTCTTAACTCTGGGTTTTCCTCACTGATTGGTCCTCCTCAGACTCCTGCTAACTTCTTTTCTTTTCTCCAAATTAGTATTAGAGCGCCCCAAGTCATGGTCACTGGGGCTCTTTTCTTCTCCGTCCACACTCGAGCTAGCCCTTAATTAGCTCATCTAGGCTTAGTATCCTGGGAGCTCCCAGCTCTATCTCCAGCCTGGCTCTCCTCTTAACTTGAGGCTAGTATGTCCACCTGGATGCCCGAGAGGCATCTCTGACATAACATATTGAAAATGAAATAATTTTGATCTTTCCTGCTCAACATGATCCATATTCAGACTTTAATATCTTAGTTATAACAATTCTACACTTCCAGTTTCTCAATCCCAAAACCTTGGAGTCATTTTTGATGTCTTTCTCTCGTACTCATGTGTAATCTCTGTCTTCAAAGTATATACAGGATCTGAACACTTCTCCCACCTCCCTGCTACCACTCTGATCTAGGCACCATGCTGTCTAGCCTGGATGTTTGTAGTGGACTCTACCTGGCCTCCCATCTTTGCACCCCCATAGAAAATTCCCAATGTGGTGGCCATAGTGATTTTTTTTTTTTTTTTTTTTGAGATGGAGTTTCACTCTTGTTGCCCAGGCTGGAGTGCAATGGCACGATCGCGGCTCACCGCAACCTCCGCCTCCTGGGTTCAGGCAATTCTCCTGCCTCAGCCTCCTAAGTAGCTGGGATTACAGGCACGCGCCACATGCCCAGCTAGTTTTTTGTATTTTTAGTAGAGACGGGGTTTCACCATGTTGACCAGGATGGTCTCGATCTCTCGACCTCGTGATCCACCCGCCTCGGCCTCCCAAAGTGCTGGGATTACAGGCTTGAGCCACCGCGCCTGGCCATAGTGATCTTTTAAAGCACAAATCAAATCCTGGCGTTCTTATGATCCAAACCATGCAAAGCTCTGCATTTCACTTAGAGTAAACCAACGTGCTAATATGCAGCAGGCTTGCACAAAATCTGACTCCTGATACATCTCTGATTTCATTTCTATGCATTCACCCCCTTGTTTACTTGGCCCAGTCTCTACCATTCCACCCCTCTGTAACTGCTTGCTGAATTCTCTCATGTCCTGCAAGTCTTTGCTAAAAAGTGTAAAAAGTGCCTTTTGGACTGGGCACAGTGGCTCACACCTGTAATCCCAGCACTTTGGGAGGCTGAGGTGGGCAGATTATGAAGTCAAGAGATTGAGACCATCCTGGCCAACGTGGTGAAACCCCATCTCTACTAAAACTACAAAAATTAGCTGGGCGTGGTGACATACACCTATAGTTCCAGCTACTCAGGAGGCGGAAGCAGGATAATTACTTGAACCCTTGAGGCAGAGGTTGCAGTAAGCCGAGATCACGCCACTGCACTCCAGCCTGGCAACAGAGCAAGACTCCATCTCAAAAAAATAGTACCTTCTGGGTGAGGCAACTTTTTAAATGATCCTGTTGTAAGTTGCAATCCCTCTTCATTCCTCATCCTCCATATCCTCCCCCAACCTTTTTCTTTTGAGACAGGGTCTCACTCAGACACCCAGGGTGGAGTGGAGTGGCACGATCATGGCTCACTGCAGTCTTGACCCAGGCTCAGGTGACTCTCCCACCTCAACCTCCTGAGTAGCTGGGACAATAGTTATGTGCCATCACACTTGGCTAATATTTTTGAATTTTTCATAGAGATGGGCTTTCACCATGTTGTCCAGGCTCCTATCCTACTTTTATCCATAGCAGTTAATCATCTTTTGACATAATATATACTATAATTCACTTACTCATTTATATTTATTGCCCATTTCCCTTCTTGAGGATGTAACCTCCATGAAGACAGTAATGTTCATACATTTTCTTTCTGGTGTATCTCTAGCCCCCAGAGAGTGTCTGAAGGCACTAGATAAATATCGCTGAATAAATGAATGTTAGAGGGGTGCATACATGTGCCATGGTTCTTCCAGGTCCCAGGTAGCAAATAATCCAATCCCTTGGTCCTGTGCTGTGATCATTTTCAAACCTTATACCATGTAAAGTTTTAGTCAACAGAAATTTGAACAATCAAGTTGCATTATTTTAGTTTTACAGGGTAAAAATGATATCATGTTTTCTGATTCCTGGCCAATGATCATTTCCCAGTTCAAAGAAATAGATTGCTCCTCCAGCAGCCACTGGAGTTTGGCGCCCTTCCCAGTCTAGCATTTGGAATGCTGGGCTGGACTTCCTCCAGGGAGCTGGAAAGAGCTGAATATAAGTTGTCCTCGTTGGTGAAATCTAATGTAGCACATCCATGATCACAGCTGACAAGAAGAAACCACTGTGCTGGTGTCCCCAAGTCTTCTTTCTAACAAAGTGAAGCTGATCACAGTTAGTTGGTTTTTTGTTTTGTTTTGAGATGAAGTCTTGCTCTGTAGCCCAGGCTGGAGTGCAGTGGCACAATCTCGGCTCACTGCAACCTCTACCTCCGGGGTTTAAAAGATTCACCTGCCTCGGCCTTCCGAGTAGCTGGGATTACAGGTATCTGCCACCACCCCGGACTAACTTTTTGTATTTTTAGTAGAGATAGGGTTTCACCATGTTGGCCAGACTGGTCTCAAACTCCTGACCTCAAGTGATTCTCCTGCCTCGGCCTCCCAAGTGATTCTGGGATTACATGCATGAGCCACCGCACCCGGCCCTAGTTGGGTTTTAAGTAATGAGTTGGCCTAATTTCTTTCTCATCCTCCCTTTTTAATCTCATTTCCTATTTATAAAAATTCACTTTTTATTTTAGAAAAGTTTTAGGCGGGGTACGGTGGCTGATACATATAATCCCAGCACTTTGGGAGGGTGATGAAGGAGGATTGCTTGAGCCCAGGAGTTTGAGATCAGCCCTGGCAACATAATGAAACTCTACAAAAAACAAAGAGTAAAAAAATTAGTTGGGTACAGTGGTGCCTACCTGTAGTCCCAGCTACTTGAGAGGCTGAGGTGGGAGGATCACCTGAGCCCAAAAGTTCAAGGGTTGCAGTGAACTCTGAATGCACCACTGCACTTCCGCCTCGGCAATAGAGCAAGACGCTGTGTCAAAAACAAAAATAAAAATAGACGTTTTAGATTTATAGGAAAATTGAGAAGATAGTCCAGAGAGCTTTCATGTACCCTGCATCCTGTACCCTAACTTCCCCTGTTATTAACATTTTACATTAGTATTTGTATTCGTTTGCTAGGTCTACCAAAACAAAGTACCATAGGCTGGGTGGCTTAAACAACAAATTAATTTTCTCCCAGTTCTGGAGGCTAGAAGTCCAAGACCAAGGTGTCCGCAGTGTTGTTTCTTTGGAGGCCTCTCTCTTTTTGACGTGTAAATGGCTTCCTTCTCCCTGCATCTTCACGTGGCCTTCTGTGTGTCTGTCCTAATCTTATAAGCACACCAGTCATATTGATTAGGGCCCACCCGTATGACCTTGTTTTACCTTAATTACATTTTCTTTTTTTTTTCCTTTTTCTTTTTCTTTCTTTTTTTTTTTTTTTTTTTTTTTTTTTTTTGAGACCAAGTTTCACTCTTGTTGCCCAGGCTGGAGTGCAATGGTGCAATCCCATTGCAACCTCTACCTCCCAGGTTCAAGCGATTCTCCTGCCTCAGCCTCCCAGCTAGCTGGGATTACAGGTGCATGCCACCACGCCTGGCTAATTTTCCTATTTTTAGTAGAGACAGGGTTTCACCATAGTAGCTAGACTGGTCTCAAACTCCTGACCTCAGGTGATCCACCTTCAGTCTCCCAAAGTGCTGGGATTAGAGATGTAAGCCACTGTGCCCAGCCTCTTAATTACCTTTTTAAAAGCCGTATCTCCAAATATAGTCCTATTGTCAGGCACTGGGTGATTAGGATTTCAATGTATGAATTTGGTTGGAGGTACACAGTTCAGTCCATAACAGTATTCATTCTCTATTTTAACCTCTGAAGTGGAGTCTACCTTTCCACCCTATCCAGATTCCTTGCTGCTTCAAGAACAAGAATGAATTGGGGCTTTTAAGTCAAAAGTTCAAATCTCAGCCTGGCGCAGTGGCTCATGCTTGTAATCCTAGCACTTTGGGAGACTGAGGTGGGCAGATCACTTGAGCATAGGAGTTTGAGACTAGCCTGGACAACTTAGCAAGACCCCATCTCTACAAAAAATTTTAAAAATTAGCTGGGCATGGTGGCGTGTCCCTGTAGTCCCAGCTACTCAGGAGGCTGAGGTGGGAGGATCACTCAAGCCCAGGATGTTGAGGCTGCAGTGAGCTATGATTATACCACTGCACTCAAGCCTGGGTGACAGAGTGAGACCCTGTCTCAAAATAATCATCATCAAGGCCAGGCGTGGTGGCTCAAGCCTGTAATCCCAGCACTTTGGGAGGCCGAGGTGGGTGGATCATGAGGTCAAGAGATCGAGACCATCCTGGTCAACATGGTGAAACCCCGTCTCTGCTAAAAATATAAAAAATTAGCTGGGCATGGTGGCGCGTGCCTGTAATCTCAGCTACTCAGGAGGCTGAGGCAGGAGAATTGCCTGAACCCAGGAGGCGGAGGTTGCGGTGAGCCAAGATCGCGCCATTGCACTCCAGCCTGGGTACAAGAGCGAAACTCCATCTAGAAAAAAAAAATCATCATCATCATCATAAAACTTCAAATATCAGCTTCCTTACTTTGTAATTGACTGACTTCAAGCAATTAATCTTGTTTATAAATCCATAAAGGATGCTAAGCCATCAGTGGAATACATTAGGGAAAAACTTGTATCAGGTAACTCAGGTCTCTATATAAGACCCCTTAAAAAATGTGAAAATGTAAATTAGTTCCTGTTAGTAGGCAGTGCCTTGTAATAGAGAAATGAAGACCCTTCCTCACTAACATGAACGCCTCCTTCCCACACTCCCAGATAAAGGTTAAACACATATTGAAAGAACCTTAGCTTAAAGGGGAGACAGATTGATTATTAGACTGTCCTGCTATTTATATTTCTTGAATAGGACCTGCCTCTTCAGGGGTCAAACAGAGGCAATGAAGGGTGCTCCTTTCTCTATTTCCACCTTCTCTGAGATCATTGTGTTATTAAGCTTTACTATGCATCTTACTTAGAAATTGCTTAATTGTTGCCTTATGATATTTCCCACTGTGATATTAAGTTCTTCTTAGGTGTAGTTTGTCATCGTTTACATGTACTGTGTAAGTGGATCTTACCTTTCCTTGACTTCAAGTTCGTGGAGAACAGGACCTCCATCTCTCATTTTCAAGGTTCCCAATGATGTACCTGATATGTTTGTTGCGAGGATGAGAACAGTATATCATTGAGAATACTAAATTAAGTTTAAAAATTTGTTGTTGCTTTGATACAGGGTAAAATCCAATGCAAGGAATATATCATTGAAGGATTTGAAAATATGCCAGCTGCATTTATGGGAATGCTGAGAGGAGATAATTTCGGGAAAACAATAGTGAAAGCATGAAAAAAAAGGACACGTGGAATCTGGAGGCCACTTAGATGATTACTGAATTTGTTTTTCACCATTTAGCAAAAATGTATACTACCTTAAATGTCTAAGAAACAGTACTTGTAATGAGTTTGACCTGCTTAATAAAATACATTTAAGTGGTATTTCATTAGTGAAGGAGTATGAAAATTTCACGGTCAGCAACAACCAGTCACGTCACTGTTCACTACAGCTTCTTCTGAGTTGTGGTAGAAAATAATGGCTTTGGAGTGTGAAAGTTTACCAAACACTGCATGTTCTCACTCGTAAGTGGGAGCTGAACAATGAGAACACATGGAAACAGAGAGGGGAACAACACACACTGGGGTCTTTCAGGGGGCTGAGGGGAGGGAGAGCATCAGGATAACTAGCTAATACATGCGGGGCTTAATATCTAGGTGCTGGGTTGATAGGTGCCACAAATCACCATGACAGGTTTACCTATGTAACAAACCTGCACGTCCTCCACAAGTATCCCAGAACTTAAAATAAAATAAAATTTAAAAAAAAGTTGGCCAGGTGTGATGGCTCACTCCTGTAATCCCAGCACTTTGGGAGGCCAAGGCGGGTGGATCACAAGATCAGGAGTTCAAGACCAGCCTGACCAACATGATGAACCCCCACACTCCGTCTATACTAAAAATACAAAAAACAGCTGGGTGTGGTGGCGTGCACCTGTAATCCCAGCTGCTTAGGAGGCTGAAGCAGGAGAATCACTTAAAGCTGGGAGGCAGAGACCGCAGTGAGCTGAGATCATACCACTGCACTCCAGCCTGGGCAATACAGCGAGACTCTGTCTCAAAAAAGAAAAAAAAAAAAAAGTTCACTGCTTCTGTGACCTTAGACTTCTGACTTTTCATCTTTAAAGTGAGGATAATAACATTTGAAACAAAACACCAACATAATGCCTGGCATACGTTAGCTACCTCCCTGCTGATATCCGTGATTTTGAAGTCTTAAGACTAACACCCCTATTGCATGTGATTATGCCAGAAGAAAGAATCCTGCAGGTGTATAGGTGTCTTAGGGCCAGTCCATACTGGTCCTCTACAGATGAATCTAACTATATAACAGACCAAAGAAGGAATCTGCATTCACAAGAGCTACACAAAAGATAACACATGGGAATGTTTATACATCTACAAAAACATGCAAGATTTACATGAAGAAAAATTTAAAACATTACTGAGGGGCCAGGTGTGGTGGCTCATGCCTGTAATCCCAGCTCTTTGGGAGGCCAAGGTGAGACATTCATTTGAGCCCAGGAGTTTGAGAGACCAGCCTAGGCAGGAATCTGTATCTGCAAAAAATTTAAAAATTAGTTGGGCATGGTGGTGTGTGCCTATAGTCCCAGCTACTTGGGAGGCTGAGGAAGCAGGATCACTTGAGACCAGGAGTCCGAGGTTGTAGTCAGCAGTGATTGTACCACTGTACTCCAACATGGGCAGCAGAGTAAAACCCTGTGTCTAAAAACAAAAACAAAAGAACAACAAAAACAACATGACTGATGAACGTGAAAGAAGACATGAACATGAGGAAAGGTACCATGCCCTTGGACAGGAAGATTCAATATCTGTTTTGTTTTGTTTTGTTTTTTGAGATGGAGTCTCTCTCTGTCTCCCAGGCTGAAGTTCAGTGGCATGATCGCAGCTCATGGCAACCTCCGCCTCCTGGGTTCAAGCCATTCTCCTGCCTCAGCCTCCTAAGTAGCTGGGATTACAGGTACCCACCACCATGCCCAGCTAATTTTTTTATTTTTAGTAGAGATGGGATTTCACCATGTTGGCCAGGCTGGTCACGAACTCCTCATCTCAAGTGATCCACCCACCTCAGCCTCCCAAAGTGCTGGAATGAGGCACTTTGGAAGGTGTGAGCCACTGCACCCAGCCAGAAGATTCAATATCAATCAGAAAGATGTCAATTCTACTGATCAATTCTGCCTTCATAGAGATAAGGGGTTAAATAAATTTTAGTACAATGAAACAATGGGAGAAGTGTGTCTGTACAAAAACTCTGGCAAGATATAATAAAACTTCTAATATGGTTTGTCTTCAAGGAAGAGAACTGTGGAATGGCCCTGGACCTGGCCTGTGAAACCATTTTTCTCTCTTAGGCCTCCTGATGGGAAGGGCTGACACAGTCTCTCAAATGCCCTGGAAGCATTTTCCCCATTGTCTTGGCTATTAATATTCATCTCCTCATGCAAATTTCTGCAGCCTTTTTGAATTCCTCCCCAGAAAATGGGTTTTTCTTTTCTACTACATGGCCAGGCTGTAAATTTTCCAAACTTTTATGCTCTGCTTTCTTTTTAAATGTAAGTTCTAACTTCAGACCATCTCTCAAATGCATATGAGGATATGCGGTTAGAAGCAGCCAGGCCAAATCTTGAATACTCTGCTGCTTAGAAATTTCTTCCACATGTACCCTAAATCATCTCTCTCAAGTTCAAAGTTCTACAGACCCCTAAAGCAGGGCACAATGGCACCAGTCTCTGCTAAAGAATAGCAAGAGTGGCCTTTACTCCAGTTCCTAATAAGTTTCGCATCTCTGTCTGAGACTTCCTTAGCATGGACTTCACCGTCCATATTACTGTCAGCATTTTTGTCACAACCATTCAACAAGTCTTTAGGAAGTTCCAAACTTTCCCTCATCTTGTCTTCTTCTAAGCCCTCCAAATTGTTCCACCCTCTGCCCATTATCCAGTTCCAAAGTCGCTTCCACATTTCCAGGTATCTTTATAGCAATGTCTAACTTCTCTAGTACCAATCTTCTATATTAGCCTGTTCTCACACTGCTTTAAAGAACCACCTGAGGCCGGGCGCGATGGCTCAAGCCTGTAATCCCAGCACTTTGGGAGGCTGAGGCGGGTGGATCACGAGGTCAAGAGATCAAGACTATCCTGGTCAACATGGTGAAACCCCGTCTCTACTAAAAATACAAAAAATTAGCTGGGCATGGTGGTGCGTGCCTGTAATCCCAGCTACTCAGGAGGCTGAGGCAGGAGAATTGCTTGAACCCAGGAGGTGGAGGTTGCGGTGAGCCGAGATCGCGCCATTGCACTCCAGCCTGGGTAACAAGAGGGAAACTCCGTCTCAAAAAAAAAAAAAAAAAAAAAAAAAAAAAACAACCACCTGAGACTTGGTAATTTATAACTAAAGAGGTTTAATTGACTTACAGTTCCACAAGCTGTACTAAAAGCATGGCTGGGGAGACCTCAGGAAGCTTACAATCATGGCAGAAGATTGAAGGGGAATCAAGCGCATCTTCACGTGGCAGCAGGAGAAAGCACAAACGGGGAAGTGCCACACACTTTAAAACTACCAGATCTCATGAGAACTCACACACTATCACAAGAACAGCAAGGGGGAAATCTGCCCCTGTGAAACAATCACCTCCCACCAGGTCCCTCCCCAACATTGGGGATTACAATTTACATCAGATGTGGATGGGGACACAGAGCCAAACCATATCAGTGTCTTTATATATCATTGTTTAGGGTTACATATGTCCCTTAATTTTTTAACAGCTTTATTGAGATATAATTCAGATACCATAAAATTCACCTCTTCTAAGTATACAATTCAATGGTTTTTAGTATAATCACGAAGTTGTACAACCACCACCACTTAATAATTCAAGAACAATTTCACCACCCCAAAATAGAAACTTCATACCTATTAGCTATCACTAGCCTCCCTCCAGTCCCGGATAAGCAATAATATACTTTCCATCTCTATAAATTTGCCTGTCCTGGACATTTCATGTAAATAGGATTATACGATACGTGGCCTTCTGTTGCCTGGTTTCTTTCACTTAGCTAATTCAAGTTTTTATGAAGTAACTCACTGCCAGAAGAAAAATATTTCATCCAGCATGTGGTAGTCTAAGATTTGACAATATTTTCAAGGTCTATTTATATTGTAGCAGGTATCAGTACTTAAGTCTTTTTGGTTTGGACTAGAACATAATAATATTCTGTTGTATGAATAGGTTATATTTGGCCATCATTTGATGGACATATGGGTTCTTTTTTTGGCTGTTATGAATAATGGTGCTATGAACATTTATGTACACTTTTTTTTGTGGATGTATATTGTTGGTTCTCGTGGGTATATACCTATGAGTGAAATTGCTGGTTCATATGGTAACTTTATGTTTAACATTTTGAGGAACTGCCAAACTGCTTTGCAAAGTGAGTGTACTACTTTACATTCCCATCAGTAATGTGTGAGTAAATCGGTTAAAAAAAAAAACAACCAACAACAGTTTTTCATTTCTGCCATTACTCATTATTGTCTCTCTTTTTTTATTACAGCCACCTTGCTGGTGCCTGTAGATTTTCCTTAAAATGGAGTTTGTGGCCAGGTGCGGTGGCTCAAGCCTGTAATCCCAGCACTTTGGGAGGCTGAGGCGGGTGGATCACGAGGTCAAGAGATCGAGACCATCCTGGTCAACATGGTGAAACCCCGTCTCTACTAAAAATACAAAAAATCAGCTGGGCATGGTGGCATGTGCCTGTAATCCCGGCTACTCAGGAGGCTGAGGCAGGAGAATTGCCTGAACCCAGGAGGCAGAGGTTGCAGTGAGCCGAGATCGTGCCACTGCACTCCAGCCTGGGTAACAAGAGTGAAACTCCGTCTCAACAAAAAAAAAAAAGAAAAGAAAAAAACGGAGTTCGTATTCTGGTTTCTTATGCTCTATGTTGTTTTGGGTGATTTTCCAGAGAAGAGGCAGTTCTTACCACCTTGAATTTGGTAGCCCCATAGATCTTGTTTAACTTTTTAAATTTGGCTAATATGCTGTCAGTGGTGATATCCTGCCTGGTTCCTCATCTGGGAGTATTTATGGGATGTTCACTGTCACCTTACTGTCAAGATTTCACTGAAAAAAATTAAATACTTGGGACATACACAAGTTAACAGAACATAAACTCAAAATGCCTGAAGTAATAGACTATGACATGCTGGCAGAAATTATTTTTCTTTTTTCTGGCAGTGAGTTGTATCATAAAAAGTTCAATTAGCTACCTGGCACAGTACAAGTATGCTGTAAGCATCAGGCTAAAACATTGTGTCAAGTATTTTAAATGAGTTAATCTGGGCCGGGCGGTGTGGCTCATGCCTGT